AACAAAGCTTAAGATGAGTATGAAAAGACAGATCACCATTAAGATAAAAGCAGTTTATATAAGTGCCTGGCACACAGTAGGCGCTTATGCTTGCTGAATTGAATTGTGTAAGAAGTAGAGAAATTCTGTGAAGAACTTGACATTGCCTAATAAACCCCTCAACCTCATCCTCTTTGAAACCGAAGCTTCCTTCAGGGCTTAGTTCAAGCATACCTCCTAAGAAAGTCTTTCCTGACACCCCTCTCCCCCCCACTCCAACCCTACCCCAGTTATTAGTGCTCTCTCTCTCCTCCAAGTGTTTATATAGTGTTTCTCCCAGTAGAATGCAGACTCCTAGAGGGCAAGGTACATCTTTTTGTCTAGGTATGTGACATCATATTACAGAAAATGTTTAATAAAGCCAATATGTGAACCCAGCTCCACATTTTTTTTCATTTAGAGAAGCCTTAAATTTATCCCTATTCTCCCTTTCTGTTTGTAAGCCAGTTCCCAATCCATAAGAAAATGTTTCACCTGATCCCAAAGTGACTGAGTTTGGAAATTGGGGTTAATGAGGAATCTGCAAAGGGGACCAAGTCCCACTTTAGACACTTACTATCTTCGGGATACTGAACAAGTCACTTCTCTGGGCCCTAGTTTCCAATTCTGAAACAATCAGGGTTTCAGTTTGGTGGGCCTCTGAAGTCCCTTCCAGCTCTAGACTTGTGATCCTGAATCTTGAAGGTGTTTAACAGAGCTAAAGAAATGATGCTCACTAATATTCCTCCGGTTTAGAGGTGCTGGAAGTCAGAAGATCTGTCATGAACACACCGTGAGGCCTCTCTAAGGGCTCCTTCTATGGACCCGGGGAGACGTTTCCAAACTTTGGGATTTCAGGAACACTCCTTACTTTGTTAAGGGGACTGAGTAGTTTGGCAGCTTTTTCGCCCGCCTCTCCGTGAGCTCCATGCTTAGCCCCACCCGGCTCCCTGGAGGAGTCGCTCCTTGGGAAGGGGAGAGCTGCTGGGGCAAGACCCGGACCCTGGGGACTCGTGGCGCCGAAACACCCGCACTCAGCAGAGTTCTGGGACAGCGAGGGCCCGGAACGAAGTGCCCGCGCATTGGCCGCGGAGCAGCAGCAAGCCAGACCGCTCTCTCCGCAGGACTTCCGGTTCCTCTCTCGGCCTCAGCATCTCGGTGGTATGCTCGCTTACAAGGCCGAGCTAGCTTGGGGCCCAGGGATGGAAAAAGAGAGAGAGACGGGAGGGACAGAGAAGGGAAGATAAAGGGGAGCCTGCGTCTTATCACAATACAGGGCCACGAGGAAACGTCCAGCGGTTTTTTGGTACCTCGGAGGACACACCCTCTCCTCTCCATCCCTTCTTCAGACCTAGAGCCTGATTGTTGCTAGGCAACCTGGTCTCCTGGAGACCTTATTAACTGCCTGCTGCAGTATTTTCAGCCGCACCGCGGTAGAATGGAAAGAATACATATCTGAAGGGGCAGTTAGGTGGCGCAGTGTAAAGAGCACCGGCCCTGGAGTAAGGAGTTCAAATCCGGCCTCAGACACATAACGCTCACTAGCTATGTGACCCTGGGCACGTCACTTAACCCCATTGCCTAGCAGAAAAAAAAACAACAAACCCAAAACAATACATATCTGAAAGTCAGCAGGCCAGGTTTCAATTATGGTTTTGTTATTGAAGCACTTTGCAACTTTGAGAAAGACTGGGCTTCTGTTACCCCATTTGCAGAATGAAGAGATCAGAGGAAATGGTCTGTACAGGGTCAGCTAGCTCATAATCCTACCAGTCTTGTCCCCTCCTTAGGTCTGTTTCAATGCTGTAAAATGAAGGGATTGGACAAGGTGCACTCATCTAGTTCCGACATTGTATGATCTTTTAAGTCATTCTCCCTCCCTGGGCTGCAGTTTTCTATCTGTAACATCAAAACGGTTGGACAAATTGATCTCTAAGGGCCTTTCCAATTCATAATCTTGTGATGCCATATGTCCTTGCCTTTCTCTGGGCCCAGGTTTGACCATTTATAAAATGAATAGGCCAGAAGAGATAACTTCCAAGTGCCCTTCTAGTTCATAATCCTATGATTGCAAAGGTCAGTTAATAAGTATTTCTTAAGCACTTACTACATGCCAGGTACTGTGGCAAGTTCTGGGGATACAGCAGAAGAGAAAGGCAGTCCCTTCTTTCAAGGAATTCAGTCTAATGAGGGAGACAACATGTAAACAAGCCATAGGCTAGATGAATTGGAAATAATCAACAGAGAGAGATTGAGAGAGCACTAGAATTAAGGGGGATCAGGAAAGACTTCCTATAGAAGGTGAGATTTTAGCTGGGACTTCAGGAAAACCCGAAGGTAGAGATGAGGAGAGAGAGAATTCCAAACATGGAGAACAACAGTGAAAATGCTCTGAGTTTGTATATGCAGTATCTTGTATGAGGACAAACAGCAGGGAAATCAGTGTCACTGGACTGCAGAGTATGTGGGAGGAATAAGGCCAAAGAAGATAGGAAAGGAGCTGGATTGTGAAGGGCTTTGAATTCAGAGGCTTTTATATCTGATTCTGGAGATGATAGTGAGTCACTGGAATTTACTGAAAAGGGGGAGTGACATGGTCAGATTGGTGATTTGGCAGATTGCTTTGACAATTGAATAAGAGGATGGACTTCAGTGGTGAGAGAACTTGGGGCATGAGACCAATCAGTAGGCTATTGCAATAATCCAGGCCCAAGGTGGTGAGGGCCTGTACCTAGGGAGTGGTGGTGTCAATTCCATTTTATTTTATTTTTTTTAGGCAGTTGGGGTTAAGTGACTTGCCCAGGGTCACACAGCTAGTAAGTGTCAAGTGTTTGTTCTGAGGCCAGATTTGAACTCAGGTCCTCCTGACTTCAGGGCCAGTGCTCTATCCACTGCGCCACCTAGCTGCCCCTAGGAGTGGTAATGTCAGAGGAAAGAAGGCGACATAGACAAGAGATGTTAGGAAGGGAAAATCAACAGGCCTTGGCAAGAAACTGGATATTGGGGTAAGGGCAGAGATTCAGGGGCGTGCTGAGGCAGAAAGTAAAATTTTCAGTGTGAGCAGTTATACCTCAGAAATTGATGAACACTATAAATCAGGGCTGGGTTTGTTTTGTTGATTTTTTTAGTGATGGATAAAATGTTAATATTGCAGATTAAACTTTAAAATATTTTAAGAATACACCCGTCCCAGAGAGCCTGTTATTAAACATTTATCAGCATACCTGTGTGAGAGAGAATGAGAAGTAGAGGATGACCCCTAAGTTGTGAGCATGGGGGAACTGGGAGGATGGTGTTGCCCTCTATAGTAAAAGGAGAGGTAGGAGGGAAGGAGGGTTTTGAGGGAAAGACAATGAGTTCAGTTTTGGACATGTTAAGTGTAAGATGTCTACTGGAATCCAGTTCTAGATGTCTCATAGATAGTTAGAGGTGATGTTGATAATGATAAGTAGATTTGAGAATCATCAGTATAGAGATATCCCTTAATCCATGGAAGCTGATCAGATCACTAATTGAAATAGTATAGAAGGAACCGAGAAAGGGGCCCCAGAACACAGCCCTGTGGGAAGCCTACAATTACTTGTTGTTGTTGGTGGTGGTGGTGATCCTTTGTTCTCAAAGTAGGCATGACTTAGAAGAAGATCCAGCAAAAGCTACTAAGAAGGATTGGTCAGATAGGTAGAAGGAGAACCAGGAGAGAATAGAAACCTAGGGAAAAGAAAGTATCAAGAAAAGGGTGATTTAAATATAGTGTCAAAGGCTGTAAAGAGAGGGTAAAAAGGATGACGTTTGAGAAAAGGCCATTAGATCTGCCTCCTGGCTTCCCTGGCTTCTCTTCTACGGAAAGTTTCTCCTGATCCCTTTTAATTCTAGTGCTTTCTCTCTGTTGATTATTTCCAATTTATCCAGGAAATAGCTTCTTTGTACATAGTTGCTTGAATGTTTCTAAATTGGACTGTGAACTCTGTGACCTTCTTTCGGGCAGGGACTGTCTTTTTTGCTTTTCTTAGGAAGTCACTTGCCCTCTTAAGCCTCAGTTTTCCCACTTGAAAAGCTGAGGCAGGAGAAGATAGTGTCAACTCAAAGTTCTACAATACTGTAAACTGTTGTATTTCTCAGTGCCTGTTTCCTAATCTATAAAATCAAGGTGTTGGAGGTTATCTATAATGAACCTTCCATTTTATAATCCGAATACTCCTGAAAGTCCTTTCACCTTTCTAAGCTACAGTTTCACTAATTTTGCAATTTCACTAAATGTAAAATGAAAGTGTTGGAAATCGCTATAAAATTCATGCATCATTTGGGAGTTAAATCACCAAGATACAATATTTATATCAATACAACTACACAACACTATATAGTAATACAAGGTGACAAATATTTGGAGATTCACTACTTGTGGTTGGGCCATTCCAATATAATAAAAAAAAGAATGTAATTGATTTTAGATTTAGTTTTCTACAAGAAGGGATTGGGAAAGATGATTTCTAAAGGTTCTTTCAGTTCATAATCCTGGGATCCTATAGGTTAACTCAGTTTAACATTTATTAAGCACCTGCTCTATGTTGGAGTCACCGCCCTTCCTTGGGCCCGTTTCCTCCTCTAGACAATGAAGGAGTGGGATGGGATTACCTTTAAATGTTATTTCAGCTCCTGACTCGGACATTATGTATCACTTCCTTCTCAGAAGTAATTTTGTTACCTATAAAATGAGGGCCTGGACGAGAGGATCTCTATAGGTCTTTCCAGGCTATAATCCTATGGTTTTCTAAGTCCTTACTCTTTCTTGGTGGTCAGTTTCCTAATTCACAAAAAACAGGGTATTGGATCCATAAAAGAGATTACTTCCCCAGGGGTTTAAGGCAACAGCCCACTTTCTTTCCCTTCCTCTCCCCTCCCGTCCCCTCCCCTTCCCTCCTCTCCCACCTCCCCGCCCTTTCTTTGACCCCGCCCCTTTCATTATCTTTTTCTGGCCCCGCCCCCTAAGCTTAGAAAGCGCCGAATTCGGGACCTGCGCAGTCAACTGCGAGCAAACGGAAGTCCAGGAGCCGTGGCCCTCTCCCTCCGAAGCGAGTGGGGCGCGTTTGCTGGCTCCTTCTCTCTCGGTTTCTGTCGCCTTCTCCCTCCCTCTCTTCCCCCTTCCCTCTCTCCCACTCTCCTCTTTTGCCCTCTCCCTCCGACGGTCGGCCAGGCGCTTCAGGCAGTCGGCGGCGGTGTGCCCTCGTCTTCTCGTTGCTGGGGTAAGTGCGGACATGGCGACGAGCCTCGAGAAGTCCTCGCTGCTTGTCCACGGAGATTTTCCTTCTCTTAGCGTGATTTCTTCCTTGTTCGAAGAGGAAGAAGGGAGGGGGTGGAGGAAGGGAGAGGGAGGAGGGGGAGGAGGAGAGCGGACGGGGAGGTGCCTTGTGGCGTCCATTGCGGCATTCATTGCGCTCCGCATGGCGCTAGTTCCTGCGCTCACCCTTGCCACCTCCTCCTGCCTTTGTCCTTTCTTTCCCAATGCTTCGATCTCCTCTTTCCCGCATTCACTCCCAAACAAGCTCTTTGTCGCCATTCTTCATAGGTACAAGTCCGCGTTTATCTCCCACCCCACCCCCGGCAAAAAAAAAAAAAGAAGAAAAAGAAAAAAGCTTTGTCGCTTACGGTAAAAAGGGATTTGGCCCTTGCCACTTACTACCCTGTTTACGTGACCTTGAACGAGTCCCTTGACCTCTTTGGGCCTTAACTTCTTCGTAAAAATGAAGGGCTTGAGAAAGATGGCCTCTAAGCTCTAGACTTGGGTGATAGCATGATCTTCATTGATGATCAGCACGTCTCTTCCTGTCTCCCCCCCCACCTCCCTTTGTTTGATACGTGATACTCTACCCCTCACATTCTCATTTTTGCTCCTCACCCATAGTGGGTGCTTAAGAAATACTGGCCGATCTATGTTTTTTTCTCCCACAGCAGGATTTGAAGGCAGAATCACTGGACATAGTCTGGTTTTCCCAGCAGCTCTTGGAGCGCTGTCCACATATACGAGCCTCAGGTTCCTTGTCTGTAAAATTATCTTGTCAGGAGAAAAATTGTAAACTATAAAGAGCTACAAAATTAGCTGAGTTAGTAATTCGATTCCAAACACTCAAAGGCACCATTCTGAGGAGTCTCTGAATTGTAGTTTTAAATTAAGGAAATGTGATCAGTTACTCTTTATCAGTTTCATTTCATTTTCTACATTTGGTGGTAAAGATCTCTCCAAGTGAATGGTTATGTGATAGGTATCTACAGTAAAGAAAGGAAAAGGAGAAAAGCCAGGTACTAAACTTGCAGGTCCAAATGACGTGTATTTCTGGCATAGTTAAATGCAGGTCTCCGGGAGGGCTAGAAGGGGGAGGGGCACTGCAGTCCTCCAAGTTCTGAGTGGCAGTTTACAAGATGGCTTCCCAGCCTTCTCTTTGTACTGGAAAAATGTGTTAGGGGTGCTCCTTCCTTTTCAGTTCCAGATTGTAGTTGGGAGGCAGAGGCAAAGGGGGCAGGAGGTCAGAAGGTTACCTGTTGTTTTTGAAGGATCTGGGCTTTTTTTGATGGGATTCTGCATCCAAATGCCAGTCTATATAGGAGGGGAGAATAAATGCAAAATGCAAAGACTTACATCCTTGTCTGTTTAGTAAGTTTGGATTTTGGCATATCTGCTTTCAGTTGAGTAATGAAGTCAGAAGCCAGATTACAGATAGTTGAGATGAGTGGGAGGGAAAGTGGAGGCAAAGGGGGTAGACAACTTTTTCTAGAACCTGGCCTTTGAAAGGGAAGAAAGGGATAATGACTTGAGAAGTTGCTAAGTTCCATATCCCAGGGCCCTTGTGAAAGCAGCTACATTAGAGGTCACTGGTTTTGGAGTCAGAACCTGGACTCTACCACCTGTGGTAAGCCTGAGCAAGTAACTTCCGTACACTAAGCTTTAGAGTAGGAGAAATATTGCTCAGTGACCTGTAATGGCCCTTTTAGCTCTAAAACTAGGATCTGATGGTCCAGGCTTCTAATATACTGCCTCCTCACTTCTGCTTTGTAAAGTTTCTACCTTTTTTCCATGCTTTGCTGAAGCACTGTCTCCTATTAGAGGCTCAGCCTAATTTCCTTCTCTGCTATCTCAAAAAAAAATTTACTTTTGCTGTTTTGTATTTCCTTGTCTATGTTGATACTGCTTGCTTCCTTTCCCCTCCCACATTTAAACTTCTGAGAGCAGAGACTTTATTTTTTTGGTATCCAGATTACTAACCCAGTGCCTGCCACATAGTGTGTGCTTAATGAATGCTTGTTGTGGGAATGAATAAATGAAAGGCATGTGCAAGAAGAGACTTGGTAGAGGGAAGAGAGGATAAAAGGAAAGCTTGAGGAAGGGACTTTGAACCATGCAGCTATCTAAAGTATTCAGATAGCTCATTTCTGTGGTGAGAAAGCCTCAGTCCAACCTCTCAATTTGCTGCTGCCAAGCTTCTATCCTTGGTTTTTTATTCTTTTTGTCAACACTAATTCCTAGAATTCATTCTGGTGAAAGAAGGGATTGTAAAACAATACAGATGTCAGCTGTTACCATAATGTTGAGTCTGTTTTTGTCTGTTAGGTGCAGTCCGTCCTTTAGGATCCCTGTTGAGTATCTGTCTGAAAAGCTGGGTCCCATTTTACCTGTCAGGTAAGTTTGGATGTTATGTTTACAGCAGGACACACAGGTATGTGATAGTTTCATTTTTGTTCATTTTTTTTGACAGTTTCATTTTTTAAAAAAAGGTTTGTTAAGTGACCATTATGTATTAGGTAATTTGCTAGGGAAATAAAAAGACAAGAATGAAACAATCCCTGCCCTCAAGGAATTTAGACCCTGATTAGGCACAGTAAAGAGGTCTCAAGGTGGGAAGACTGAAGCTTCTACTTCGGTCCTTTATGTGAATATTTCTGAAATTTTTTTTTCTTTGTAACACTTCTAAATGTCTGATGTCCTAATTGGAGTTGGATTTGAGGGAGAAGCTACATAAGAGTTTAGGGAAAGGGATAAAGGTATGTGCTTAAATAGAATGATGAAAAGGGAAGAGGAATGAGGGCAGGGAAAATAGAAGAGGTAAGAGGCATCTCCAGTCTTCACCACCTTTCTACAGAAAGGAGGGAGTTGTGTTTTAACATCTATTCTCTGGGACCCAGATTAGTGGGCTTCCCTTTGTATTTACATTGTTATGCATTATAGTTATTGTATATGTTACTCTCCTGGTTCTGCTTACTTTGCTACATTGGCACATAAAAGTTACCTTGTTTCTCTTATGCATTGATTTTGACAAAGCAGTAGTATTGTGTTACATTCAAATGCCACAGTTGCTTTAGCTACTCCTCAGTCTATGGGCACCTTTGTTTCCAATTTTATAATCTTTGCCATTATGAGGGGTGTCAGTTTTTAGTTGAGAAGAGGTTTAGGAGTCATTCAGACAGATCTTGATGGGCTAAGAGCAGGGATGGGGAACCCGTGGCCTTTTAGATCCTTGGTGTTCTAGTACAAGTTTTACAGAACAAATCCTTTTATTAGAGGGATTTGTTCTGTAATGTTTGGATTTAGTCAAAGGACCTCCCTTTTGAGGTTCCCTACCCCTGGGCTAGAGCACTGAGCCAAGTCTAATAAGGAGACACATATGTATAATGTTCTAGACTTGTTCAAAAAAATTCAAAAATGAATTACACCTTTTGATCCAATAATCTTGTTATTGGGGAAAGACCCTGAAAATGTTATCAAAACAAAATATGTTCAGAGATTTTCATAGCATTATATGCGATAGTAACAAAACCCAAATTGGCAAAAGAAACAACTAAATGTCCAACAGTAGGTAAATGGCTGAATTGTGGCCTGGTGATGTAATGTAAAGAAATCCATAGGCAGCCCTGGATTTAAAAAACAAAAAAATGACCCTGGGCAAGTCACTTAACCCCAATTGCTTTAAAAAACAACAACAACAAGGCACATTATAATGCAATTCAAACTGACATCTAAGCCATAGAAATAAATATGGGAGGATCTTTATGAAATAATGCAAGGTGAAAGAAAAGCAGAACCAGCAGAAAGAGTACGCACTGACTGACCATGTGAGAGGTAAACTGAATTGGAATGAGTGGACAAAGAATCTTGAGTTAGACATAGTAATTAAAATTGTTTTGATGCTTCTTGTGTTGAAGATAATTTAAATGTATGTAGTTACTAAAAATGTGGTTTGTGTTGATGTATAATGCTAAATTTAGTAAGAAAACTTGGTATAAAAGAAATCAGGTTAGTCTGACATGCTGTGAGGCCTGCTTCAGGCCTTGATCAATTCACTAAACTACGGAGTTGTTCCACTAATGTAATGAAAGCCAGGGAATCCTTTCCTATTGTGGGACCTGTTCTTAGAGCATACATGCTCTGCCTGTGTATAAAGTTCTTCTTTTCTGGAAAACATACATAGAATGTTTCTCAGGTTTCCTTATGAGCAATAGTGGTCACTACATCTCTACTAAAAAAAGAGGGAAATGGGTTCATCTGTCCTTAGGAACCAAGATTGGTTGTTGTAATTGGAGGTCAGATGTCTTTCACCTTTGTTTGCATTTATAGTGTAATTGTGGTGTATATTGTTTTCCTTCCTCTCCAGCAATTCATTGTCATTCTATGTTTTTCTGAATTCCTTCTTTTCGGTGTTCTCCAGTTGATGGGTTTTATTAACACTCAAAAAATGTTGCTTTGAATATTTAGGTAAATGTGGAGCCTTTTTCTGTCTTTGACCTCCTTATTTCCCCCATGTTTTATTAGATAAGCGCATCCTGAAGTTAGTCTTATATGTGGACAACTTGTTAAGAGATACAGTGAAGAAGGTGAGGAAGCCAGCCAGTCTGTTTGGAAGATACCTGGGACAGAACAAGGCACAACTAAGTGTTTGACCATCATGCCCAAGTTTTACTGTGATTACTGTGACACGTACCTCACTCATGATTCTCCATCTGTGAGGAAGACACACTGCAGCGGGAGGAAGCATAAAGAGAATGTGAGAGACTATTATCAGAAATGGATGGAAGAGCAAGCCCAGAGTCTGATTGATAAAACAACCACTGCATTTCAGCAAGGAAGAATTCCTCCCAACCTGTTCTCTGCTCCTCCGCTAGGAGGGCCTATGATCCCACCTCCTCACCCTAGCATGATGGGGCCTCCCCCTCCTGGAATGATGCCTGTGGGGCCACCTCCTGGCATGAGGATGCCCATGGGAGGCCACATGCCTATGATGCCTGGCCCTCCAATGATGAGGCCCCTTCCTCATCCCATGATGGTGCCCACCCGCCCAGCAATGCCCAGACCAGACAGATAAAATGGAGAGAATATAAAGAAACCCATTTCTCAGTTTTCTATTCTTTGTTCTATTTCACCAGAACATCATGGTGCTGGGTCTCATACATGGGTTTCCCCCCCCCTTCCCTTTTTAAAATGTTGGCACTCTTTTACATCACTGTCACTTTTCCATGATTTCCCTACCCCCCCATATCCCTCCAGCCTTCCCCAGTGTGTCCCTCCCCTATGATAAATAAGCACAGTGAAAAGAAAAATCAACATATTGGGATGTGTCTAAAATTTATTCCTCGTTCTGCATCTATAGTTTAACATCTCTCTGCCAAAGGAAAGGAAACATATTTTACCAGTCCTCTGAAGGCACAGTTGCATAATGCATTGATCAGAATTTTGAAGTCTATCAGTGTTGTGTTCCTTTATATTGTGGTGGTCGTGTAAATTGTTTTCTTGTTTCTGCTTACTTTCCCTCTCCCATGAGCACATACAAGCCTTTCCAAATTTCTGACTTCTTCATATTCCTATCTTGTAGCACAGTAATAGTCCATTGCTTTCATATCCCATATGTTTGTTCATTTGATGTTTCTCAATTGATGAGTATTGTTTGCCTGCAGTTCTTTGCTACTACAAAAAGTGCTGCTATGAATATTTTTGTATATATGGGACCTTTCCCTCTATCTTTGCCCTTCTTGGGTTATATGCCAATAGTGGTATCACTGAGTCAAAGATATGTGTGATTTAGTGACTTTTTAGAGTAATTCCGAATCATTTTTCAGAACTGTTGGACAAATTCACAGCTCCACCAAAAGTGCATTAGTGTGCCTATCTTTCCACAGTCCTTCCAACTTTGACCTTTTCATCTTTCATCATCTTTCTCAACCTTATGGATGTAAAGTGATGCTTCAGAATTGTTTTTGATTTGCATTCTTTTTAGAAAGTTAGAGCATTTTGTCATGATTGTTGATAGCTTGCAGTTTTTCTTTTTGCAAACTGCCCCAGGGGTAGTTTTGAAACACGAAAGAAGACTTCCCACTTCCTGTCAAAGAAGAAACAATTTAAAAAGGAAGAATGGGGCAGAAATGCAGCTTATAGCTTATATTTGTATTGTGACGTATAAAAATAAAAGTATTGACTGTTTTAGCATTTAAAAAAAATTGACTCTCTTTGAGAGAGCTCTCTTGAAGTGTCTGTTCAGACATGCCTAGCAAATCACCACTCAGTCAAACCCTGAGCTCCAGGAGGTTTGAGATGACATTAAGGCACGCTTACTGGGAGTCCCTGCCTTGAAACTAGGAGGATGGGAATGCTTATTCCACCACAAAGAATGTGAAGATTCTGGCATTTCTAGCTGCCTAACACTAATAACAGTGTGAGAGAATCCAAGTGAGATAGGTTTGTTGGCAAGCTATTGAGCTCTTTAAAACTTAGGCATCCATACTTAGATTTTATTGTGATAGCTGTCCCATCTATGAGAAAGACACTGCAGGTTGAACAAATTCAGCCTGATTGATAAAACACTTTCAGCCAGGAAAAATTGCACTATTCAAGGAAGAGCTGTGGTCTCACCTTAATTTATCCTGTGGAGAGGGCCTTGTATGTTACCTATGATGGGAGAAAGTGGCCCCTCAGATGCTACTAGGACCATAACAAGAACTTTTTGGAGTTGAAGCCCGAGTGGCAGGCTTGGGGTTGCATGAAGATAACACTTGATAGGAGTCCCTGCCTTGATATTGGAGAATAAACTGGTCAATATGTAGAGGGGAGGGAGACATGGTGGTTTTGTGGCTGCCCAACCTGTGGGAGGGAAATCTGACTGAAATGGGCTTGTAAGCAATCTGTCAGGCTTCCCAAAACAAAAATTTTTGTATTCTGATTGAGATATTTTACTTCTGCTTTCAAGTATAGTTCTTTGGCTGTCAAGAGGGGTCAGTGTGTCCCAAAGTGCATAGTGACCCTCACTGTTGAGGTCTGAAAGGTTGAGACCCCTCAAAGACTGCAGTAGGGGACAGGGTTGTCTGGAATGAATTCACAGACTCAAGCATTCTCTAAGTCAAGTTGGCAAAAAGTTTATTATTATTTTCAGCGGGCAAGGATTCTTAAGGAACCTGTGAGAGACTGAGGATGGAGCTAGGGTTTTATATGGGAAAGGAATGCCAGGGATACTGATTAGGTAATCCAAAGGTCCAGGTGTCTTTGGAAGGTATGGATGGAAAAGTACAGGGAGTATACCAAACAGAGAGGGAGATGAGAGAGGTATGGATCTTGGGAGTCTGGCAGGAGGAAGGGTCCTCGGGCTGGGTAAGGCATCGCTCTCTGTCTTGATGAGAGAATGCTCTGCAACAAGGGAAAGCTTTCTCACAAGACAGCGTCTTATTAAGGAATTGGGAGGCTTCCAGAGACACGATCTGAGGGCTGGGGCCTGAGCAGCCCAGCACTCTCGCCCAGCTTTTGTGTAGCTGCACCAGGAAGAGAGATAAAGGTCTTGCTGGGGCTCAAGCATCAATAATTGCTAGGCACAGTGTCCTTGGGCTGGGGAGTGATTGTCAGAGACAGTGTTTCTGAGACTAGGGAGAAATTGGGGTCTAAACACAAGCACCCAACCACCCCATCATCACCAGGCATTGTTTCTTAAAGCTTGCAATGCACATTATGTAAATTACCTGGTTTTGTCCTCACAACAATCCCTGTGAAGTACTATTACCCCAATTTTGCATATAAGGAAATTGAGGCTGACAGGTAAGTGACTTGCCCAGGGTCACACAGTTAATAGGTAGGATTTGAACTTGGCTCTTATACTACTAAGTCCAGCACCATCCACTGTGATATCTACCTATTGATTTATCAACCTGAAAAGGGAACATCACTGTTTCCTGTTTGATTTGAAAGCAGTGTGGTATCAAATGGGGGTGGCCAGGTCCTGCTATGGATAGAGCTAGAAGACCTGAGTTCAAATCCTGTCACAGCCACTACCTGTGGGACCCTGAGCAAGTCACTTAACCGTTGCTTGCCCCAGTTTCCTCAACTGTAAAATGGGGATAATATCGGCACCTACTTCACTGTTTCCTTCCCTTCACCCTTCCCTGCTTTCATCACAGGGACAGGGAATTACAGGCTCTGTATGTGTTGTAGGGCAAGGCCACTCAGCTTCCCCTAGCCATATGCTTCCACTGTCCTTCCTAACAAGTATTGATCCCTTTAGGGTTATCCAGTCTATGTACATAAAGGTGAGGCTGAACTGCCCTATTTTAGCTCTGGTATCTTAACTGGATAATAACATTTGTTTGATTCCTTCAAAGTGTTCTTAATCAGGTAAGGATCAGAGCTGAAATGGGGCAGTTCAGCCTCACTCTTAACATCTACAGTACAAAGCTGAGATGGGGCTTGGGCCAGGATGGGATGGGATAAGGAGGAGAGGGACACACAATGGGGCCAAAGTAGCCTGGGAGCAAGGCGTGCCATCTTCCAGTGGGAGAACAATTCTGTTCTCAGTGAGGAATGTTCCAAAGAGACCCATCATGGGATGTCGGTGTTAGAAGGGACATCCAACCCCTTCGTTTTACAGATGGGGGAGAGTGAGGCAGCCCAGAGGGGACAGGCCCTTGAGAATGGTCACCCGGTTAGTGCCAGTGGCCAGCTAAGGCTGGAGCCCAGTCTAGAGCTCCTTCCCCTGCCTCCCACCCCACCCCTGCTGCTTCCCCTTCACCCCTCCTTCCTCATCACCCAGCATCTCCTTTCTCCCTTCTCTGCTTAGGGGATGGGAAGGGAGAGGGAGAGGGGAACCGCCGGGAACTCCTAGAGGGGCAGCAGGCTGAGGGAGGGGGCAGCTCCTGGGTCGCGGATTAGCACCCCGTGCTTGGGGTGGTGGCCCTTCCCACCTCTCGAAGCATTTCCAGTGGCCACCACGTCTTCCTGGCGGAGGTGAGTGTGGAGGGCGCCGAGGCCTCTAGGCCTCACGAGCCAGGGTAGGCCTTGGGGTGGGTTTTTTCAGAGAAAAATCTTTTTCTGCTTTTTTCTACATGCCCTGGGCATTTGAGGGCATTTGGGGGGGGGTGGGAGGTGCAACCCTCCGGGCCTTATGGGTGGGGGAGGGAAATCTCAATTTCCCTCGATTCTCCGATGCGTGGGGAATGACTTCATTATATCCTGGGCCTTTCTTGCCGTCCTATTTGAGTTTGAGCCTGAGCCTGGGTCCACCCCGGCCTGCCCCTCTTACCGCCCCAGGTTCTGTGCCTGGGCCTCAGTTTCCCTGTCTATAAAGTGGTGGTAAAAAGATTTGCTGATAGTGCTGATCCAGGAAAAGAATGGATGAGATTGCAAAGGGCCCTCTATGCACATATTAACTCTTCCGGTTTGGCAAGTCCTTTTTTGTGCTTCTGGGTTAATTACCTAAGGACTAATGTACTTAACGGTGACCTCTGATGGGGGTAAGTTAGCTACTTAAGAAAGGGGATAAAACATATATATTAATAGGCAGATTAAAAAGAAGGCAGTTTAAAGGCAAAAAAGGAGATGAAAAGAGCAGGGAAAAGAATATTCTCTATCTGTAGTTTCCCACCTCTCACATACAGTGTGCACTCTCGAATAAAGTAAAGAAATCAGGTTACTTAACCTCTATGGCCCTCCATTTCGTCGTCTAGAAATCCAGGGGGTCCAGAGGGTGGGATGAAATCGCATCCAAAGCCCCTTTGAGTCCTAATTTATGATCTACGGTCTATCCGGACTGATTTTGGTTGTTACGTTGAAGGAGAATTCAGCTGCCCTTTTAAAGTAATTATTACTATTCCATTTAATATTTAATTTTTTATATTTAATTATTATTAATTATTCAGCTGTGGCTTTTGCTCAGGTTATTTTAGTTACTGTGTTTGTTGTTCTTATTTCTGGTTCTGCTTATTTTCCTTTACAATCACTTCAAACAGTTCATCCTTCCGTTTCTCTGAATTCTTCATATATGCTGTTTCTTTTTTAAAAATAAATTTTATTGCTATTTTTATATCCTCTAAATTTCTCCCAGTATTTCTCCCCTTCACTCCTTTTAGAGCCCTCACATGTAATAAAGAATAAAAAAAAAAGCCAGAAGAAAAATCAGCAAAACCAGTCAGTAAATTGAAAAAGTTTGAAAATCTGTTATCAAAACATAATAGTATTCTGTTATGTCTATACACAATTTTTTTCATTTTCTTTCTGTTGTGAACTTAAAAACCAAACAAAATCAACACTTCCATATACGTTGTGGAATAGGAGAAGATTGTATATAAAACTACAAATCTCTATTATAATTACTAAAGGTTTTTTAGCCATTTCTCCATTGTCTAGTTGTTTTTTTTTTTCTATCAAAGGAAGTGCTGCTGTATTTTGGTCTTTGACTTCACAAGCCCCCTTATCAGGATCACTGAGTCAAAAGGATACAACAATTTATTGATTTTTCTCACATAATTCCAAGTAGTTTTCCAAAACAGTTCACCATAAAATATACCTGACTTCTTACAGACCCTCCAACATTGACTGTCTCTGTTTTATTCTTTGCCTCTGTATGGGGAGTTGGGGGAAACATATGAGACGTTTTAATTCATGTTTCCTAGTGATTTGGAGGATTCTTTTATATAGTTGGTTACAATTTGCAGTTCGTTTGAAAGTTGTTTGTTTATATCTTTGATCACTTCTTTCTTGGAGAATGGCTCTTGGACCTCTCTATGTTTGTGTCCATTTCCTGTCTATCCTGGAAAACAGACTTTTGTTAGAGATATTTGATGCAAATATCTTCCTTCCTGAACCTTTCTCTTATGCTAGCTACTTTCATTTTATTTATAGAAAAACTTCAATTTATTGATTTACTGAAAATGCCTATTATGTTTTATATACACCTCTATCTCTTAATTAGGACCTTTGCCTTTAACCATAGTTGTCAAGGTTACTTTCTCAATTATAGGAATAATTTTTGTAACATAGGTCATATTTGTTCTTTAAATGTTTGGAATTTACTCATAAATTTGTCTGGACCAGGATTTCCCCCCTCTTTGGTAGTTCATTTATGTCTTGTTTGATTTCTCTTTCTGAAATTGGGTTGCTTTAATGACTGTTTATTGTTTTGTTAATTTGAGTATTTTATATGTGTTTTTAAAATAAATTTTTATTGATATCTTTTGTTTTTCCATAACTGAAATATCTCCCTGTATCTCTCTACCCCTGCCATCCTATTTAACAAAAAATTTGGGGTATTTAATATTTTTGCAGGAAATCATCTATTTCCTCTAAGTTTTTCTTTTGAAGTCAGCCCAGGAGGGATGGGAATCCACAAGAAAGAAATTCTGAAGACAGAAAAAATTAAATTCCCATGACAAGAACTGAGACTTATCTGAAGAGCTCAAGATGGATGCTCAGAGAACTCCTCCCTTTATAGTCATAAAAGATATTTACAGAAGATAGAAAGAAGAGCAGGTAAACGAGGATGAACTTTAGATTGTGGTATGGTCCAGTAAAAGTAGTGTCAGAATGAGCTGAGGCTAGTGAGGGAAGAAAAGGACACTATGATAAAAAGGATGTTTTAAGCTCTTTGGGAGATAAGAAGAAAATCCAAGAAGGGACTGGCTTACTGCTTGTGCTCAATGACTACAGAGCTGTTCAATTCTTATTTTTCTTCTGTTTGTTTGTTTCTGCCAAGGAGAATGATCTTTACCCTGGAAGTGACAGAAGTATAAAGAGACATTTGGAGTTCCTACCCTGTTCATGAGTTCATGTGATCTGACTGAGATGAGCTAATTCCCAGGTAACATTAGTATAATATGCCCTGATGAGACTACCTCTGTAGTATTACATGCCATCCTGGGTGCCACAGTTTAGGAAGGGCGTTTAGGAAGGGCTCCCCAGAGGAGAGCAGCCAATTGGGTAAAGAACCTGGAGTACATTGTCATATGAGGATTGGTTGAAGGCATTGGGGATGTTTAGCCTGGAGAAGAGAACTAGGGGAAATAAATAATTATCTTCCAGTATTTCAAAAGCTGTCATGTGAAAGAGGGATGGATTTGTTTTCTTTGATCCCAGGGGGCAGGACCAGGAACAGTGAGTGTTACTTACAAAGCAGTAAATTTAGGTTTGATGTCCAGGAAAAACTTCCTATCAATTCGAGTTATCAAAGTACAGTGGCCCATCTGGGGAGGTGATGTGTTTGTTCTCAGCCCTTGGAGATCCTCAGGCCCAGGCAGGATGATCACTGCTCTGTTATATATGGGGATACACACTGGATTCAGTGGCCTATGAGGTCTCTTCTAGTCCCAGAATTTTGTGATCCTGTGACATTCCAAGTTTTGATAGCATATAGTTGTGCATTATAGTTACCTATCATTGCTTTTGTTTCCTTTCTACTTTCAATTCATCTTGTTTATTTTTTTATTTTGATAATTAAATTTACCCATTTTATTTGATCATTTGCTAATGATTTCTCAACTTTCCTGGCATTTTCAAAAGGCTGGCTCTTAATTTTGTTTATCTCTTTTATTCCTTGTTATCATTTTATCTATTTCTTCTCTGATTTTCTTTAATTTAAAAAACATTTTAAAGAATAGCATTTGTTACCTTTCTCTTCTAGTTCTTTCCCTTCTCTTCCCCCCAGCCCCCCCACCAGTTGAACATTAAAAAAGAAGAAAATGCTCACAGCAAGCATGCATCGTCCACCTAAACAAATTCCCAAATTGGCCATGTCCAAAAATATAAGTCTCATTCTGCATATTAAGGCCATCATCCCTCTGTCAGGAGATGAATAGCAAGTGTCATCTTCAGCCCTCTAGACCTGTGATCAGAATTTTCCAAAATTGATTTTCTTTATAATGTGGTCATTATACAAATTGTTCTGCTTGTTTCACTCCTCATTCGTTCATAGAGGTTTTTCCAATTTCTTCTGAAGCTGTCCGTTTCTTATAGCCTGTTACATTCATATGCCATATTTTATTTAACCATTCCCCAATAAGTGGGCACTCTTTTAGGTTCCAGTTTTTGGCTACCACAAAGAACTGCTATAAATATTTTTGTACATATATGTATTTTTCCTCTTTCTTTGATCTCTTGGGATATAGGACAAGTAGTGGTATAACTGGGTCAAAGGATATGCACAGTAACTTTTGGGCATAGTTCGAAATTGCTTTCCAGAATGTCGGGACCAACTCATAGCTTCAGCAGTACATTAATGCGCCCATTTTCCCATAGCCCCTTTGCAATTAGTTATTTTCCTCTTTTGTCAACTCTGCCCATCTGATGGGCATAAAATTGAACCTCAAAGATTCTTTTTTTTTTAAATTTTTAGGCAATTAGGGTTAAGTGACTTGCCCACGGTCACACAGCTAGTAAGTGTCAAGTGTTTGGTCTGAGGCCAGATTTGAACTCAGGTCCTCCTGACTTCAGGGCCGGTGCTCTATCCACTGCACCACCTAGCTGCCCCGAACCTCAAAGATTCTTTAATTTGCATTTCTCCAATTTTAGTGATTTGGAGCATTTTTTCTAACAGCTGTTCATAGCTTTGATGTCTTTAAAAACCTTCTATTCATATCCTTTGACTATTGGGAAATGGCTCTTACTCATATAAATTTAAATCAATTCTTTACATATCTTGGGAATGAGACCTTTATCTGAGAAACTTGTTGCAAATATTTTTTCCCCAGTTACCTGTTTTCCTTCTCATTTTAACTGCATTGGTTTTGTTTGCATAAAAACTTTTTAATTTCATGTAATTAAAATTTCCTACTTCATATTCTCTGATCTTGTTTGATCATGAACGCTTTCCCTCTCCATAGGCCTGAAAAGTAATTTCTTCCTGGACACATGAGCTAGTTTCCCCCCCCCCCCAGAATTACAAATTGTTTTCCAGAATGGTTGAGCTAATTTATAGCTCCTCCAACAGTGCATTAGTGGGACATGACCTGGTTCTTTAAGTCTCTGTGTCCTCTTCTAAGTATTCAGTGTTTGCAACTTAGACATGGGTAGCAGGCCCCATATAAAAAATGCCATTTGCATCTGTGAGACTTGATTCTACTGTGAAGGGCTTGATTCTTCTGAGTTCAAGTTTTCAATCACCAAACATTAAGTGTCTACTGTATGTCCAGCACTGTGCTAGGCACTGGCAGTACAAAGACAAAATGAAGCAGTACCTGTCCTCTGTGAGTTTACATTCTGGGTGGCTGGAAAGGGGGTAGGAAGGGAGACAATATGTACAAATATGTATCCATACAAACTAAAAACAGGATCTGGAGGTATAGGCAGTAGCAGCTGGGGGGGCAGATCAGGAAACACCTCATGTACTAGCTGGTATTTGATCTGGATTTGGAAAGAAACTAGGGATTCTGAGAGGTGGAGATGAGGAGGGAGCGCATTCCAGATATGGGGGACAAGCCTTTGCCAAGGCTCAGAGGAAGGAGGGGTGTGTGTGTGTGTGTGTGTGTGTGTGTGTGTGTGTGTGTGTGTGTATGTATGTATTATTTTGATCATTACCACTTTGTAATACAATTTGAGATCTGGTACGGTTACTTTTTTTTTCATTGTTTCCTTTGATATTCTTGACCTTTTGTTCTTCCAGATGAATTTTGTTATTATTTTTTCTAGCTCCATAAAATAATTTTTGGCAGTTTGATTAGTTATGGCACTGAATAAGTAAATTAATTTAGGTATAAGTGTTACTTTTATCATTGGCTCAGCTTACCCATGAGTAATTGATATTTCTCCAACTTTTTAGACTGACTTTATTTGTGTGAAAAGTGTTTTATAATCGTGTTCATGTATTTTCTGGGTTTGTCTTGGCAGGTAGACTCCCAACTATTGTATATTTTCTTTAATCATTTTAAATGGAATTTCTCTTTCTATCTTTCCTTCTAGACTTTGTTGGCAATCTGTATAATATATGTAGGTTTATTTTATATCCTGCACAACTTTACTAAAGTTGTTAATTACTTCAACTAGTTTTTTAGTTGATTCTGTAGGGCTTTCTAAGTTTACCATCTTCCAAGTAAGATCAGGGGTGAAGCAAGGATGCCCATTATTATGACTATTATTCAATATTGTACTAGAAATATTAGCCATAGCAGTAAGAGAAGAAGAAGAAATTGAAGGAATTAGAATACTCCGCAGATGATATCATGGTATGCTTTAGCAAAGTTGCAGGATATAAAATAAATCCACACAAATCATCAGCATTTCTATATATTACCAACAAAGCCCAGAAGCAAGAGATAGAAAGAGAAATTCCATTTAAAATAACTGTAAACAATATAAAATATTTGAGTCTACCTGCCAAGGCAAACCTAGGAACTGTTTGAACACAATTACAAAACACTTTTCATACAAACGAAGTCAGACCTAAACAACTGAAGAAATATCAGAGGAATTAACGAAAAAAAAATGCAAAAGAAGGTAGTCTAGCTATACCAGATCTCAAACTATATTATAAAGCTGCAGTCATCAAAACTAGCTGGTACTGGCTAAGAAATGGAGTGGTGGATCAGTAAAATAGGTTAGGTACACAAGACACAGGACTCAATGACCATAGTAACCTAGTGTTCCTTGATCTCCTCTTTCTCTATTTTATTTACTTAAGTATTCAGAAACATAAATTTTCCCCTAAGTACTACTTTGGCTGCTTAAATTTTGCTTTGTTGTCTCATTGTTTTCATTCCCATTAATAAAATTATTTCTATGATTTGTTCTTTGACCCACTCATTCTTCAGGATTAGATTAGTTTCCAATTAATTTTTAATCTATGTTTTCACTGCTCTTTATTGAGTATGATTTTGATTGCATTATGGTCTGAAAAGGAGCCATTTGATGTATCTGCTTTTCTTCATTTGGTTGTAGGGTTTTTATTCCTGTACTAATACATTGTCAATTTTTATGAAGGTGCCATGTTAAGGTAACTTTCAAGGATGATTTGAATGCAATTCTACCTATAGGAAGGACTCCAGGATTTTTGGAGGTATCCTCTGGATTTATACGTATGGTATCTAGCTACCTCTTACTGAAATAGGATCTAAAGAAACTTATATGAGTAAGAGCCATTTCCCAATAGTCAAAGGATATGAATAGAAAGTTTTTAAAGACATCAAAACTATGAACAACTGTTAGGAAAAAATGCTCCATATAAGTCTTTATACTTGTCAAACACAAGGTTACTATAGTAACTTACTGTTGCAAATTGTATATCTACTCTGTTCTAACTTATCTACCTTCCTATTTCTTAGCCAGTACCAGGTAGCTTGGATAATTATTACCTTATAATACAGTTTAAGATCTGGTACTGCTATACCTCCTTCCTTTACTTTTTTTTTTAAGTTTCTTTGGTATTCTTGACCTTTTGTTCTTCCAAATGAATTTTGTTATTACTTTTTCTAACTCTGTAAAATAGTTTTTTGGTAATTTAATTGGGATGGTATCAAATAAATCAATTTAGGTAAAATTGTCATTTTAATTATATTGGCCTTGCCTACCCATAAACAGTTAATATTTCTTCAGTTATTTAAATCTGATTTTATTTGTATAAAAAGTTATTTATAATTTTGTTCATATAGTTCCTGGATTTGTTTTGGCAAGTGTACTCGCAGGTATTTTATACTCTCTAGAGTTATTTTAAACAGGGTGTCTTTTACTCTCTCTTTTTTTTCCTTTTTTTCTTTTTCTTTTTTCTTTCTTTCTTTCTTTCTTTTTTTTGTTGTTGTTGAGGCGATCAGGGTTAAGTGACTTGCTCAGGGTCACACAGCTAGTAAGTGTCAAGTGTCTGAGGTCAGATTTGAACTCAGGTCCTCCTGACTCCAAGGCCAGAGCTCTATCCACCGAGCCACCTAGCTGCCCCTTGCTCTCTCTTCTTGCAGCATTTTGTTGGTGACACTTAGAAATGCCAATGATTTATGTGGGTTTACTTTATATCCTGCTACTTTGCTAAAATTATTATTTCAACTAACTTTAGTTGAATCTTTAGGATTTTCCAAGTATATCATCATATTGTCTGCAAAAAGAGATCATTTTATTACCTCATTGCACAATCTGATTCCTTCTATTTCTTTTTCTTCTCTTATTGTTATTGCTAGGATTTCCAATACAATAATGAATAATATTGGTGACAGTGGGCATCCTTGTTATACGCTTGATCTTATTGGGAAGGCTTCTAGCTTATCCGTATTACAAATAATGTTTGATAATGGCTTTAGGTAAACGCTTCTTAAAATTTAAGGGAAAATACATTTGTACTTACACTTTTAAGTGTTTTTTAATAGGAATGAGTGTTGTGCTTTATTGTATAAAGCAGATGGTAATGCTTCTCTAATGCACTTTCCACTGATAAAATCACATCAGTTTCTTTTCCACAGTGCCAAGGATTTTGGTAGCAAGAATTTCCTTTCTGGGCTTTCCATAACTGTGATTGTAACATTTGCATGAGCAGTGGCCAGGCTGCATCTCCCCAGGGGCTGCTTTCCAGGATGGTGGCTGAAGGGACTGGGCTGGAAGCATGGTCATTCCCAAAGTTCTTGGGTTCAGGGTCCTGGACTGTCTTCGTCATGGTCTGAGGGAAGATGATGCTCAGTAGTTTGACTTGCCTGGCATGTGCTGCCTGCCCTGTCTCTCTTTTTCAGACTAGCTTGCCTGCCTTGTGTGGGATACTTGGATGGAGATAACTGGACTCTTCTCTACAGAAGTGCATTTGTTTGTGAGATTCTTTTTATTGCATGCAGTTTTTATAAATGTACTATAAAAATCTTTTTATGAATCATTTTATTTTCTTGTTCATTACTCCTTTTGGGATACTTTCATAGTTGTGAGATTATAGGGTCACAGCAAGTGTTTTCTTCAAAAATATTGCACCAGGGTGAAGTACTTCCAGCAATGCATGAGTTTATTATGTTTACATTTTCATCGCTCCACCCTTTCTTTGTTCCAGTTTTTAATGAGAATGTTTTTTAATGTCTCTCCTTTGCCTATAATGTTGGTGGAATTTCACATAGATGCAATGTAATATGTTAAGAAAAAAAAAATCTATGTTACTTTTCTTTTGAAGGATTTTTTAGAAATCATGAATACACACTGCATTTTATCAGCTATTTCCTGTTAGGATTTCCTAATTTGAAACTTTCCTTATTGAAACACTGTGATATATATTGATCATTTTTCTAATACTGAACCATCTCCATATTCCTGGGATAACTCTTATTGATTATAGTGAATAATTTTTTATGTGTTTTTATATTTTGTTTGCTGCTGTTCCACTTAATATTTTTATACCTATTTATCAGTGTTATCTTTGGTTTTAAAATCTGGACTTTAGTTACTTGTTTTCTATATATTTATATTATTTATTTATTATATATTATTATATGTTATATCAGTATATAATAATATGACACAATATAATGACAACATATTACATTTATATGTGTGTATTTATGTATATATTTACATATTATATATGACAATATACTTTTATTTTCTATATTTTAAAACAATTTATATAATAGAAGAATTGTTAGTTTTATTAAAATTTGGAATAATTCACCTGTGAACCCAATAAGCCAAGATACTTTTTTAATTAAACTGTTCATAAATTATTTGCCATATTTCTTTATCTGAAATTGATTTATTTCAGCTGCCTACTTCCTGTTCTGTCAATTTTAGTAATTTATGTTTTTGTGACTATTCATTTCACTTAAGTAATCTCACCTGTAAATGTGCTTCTTTGGTTCCTTCACAATGTTTGGAATCTCTTTTGTGTTCATACTCAACTCTCTCCTTTTTTCTAATTTTTGCATTATCTATTTTTAGCAAGTATTTTTCTCTTTCCCCCAATTCCACAATTTGAAAAACCCTTATAACAAATATGCATTGCCAAGCCAAACAAATTTCCACATTGGCCAGGTCCAAAAATTACCTGTCTGGCAGAAGGAGGGTGGATATCTTAGATCTTAAGAGCTAACATGTATGTAGCACTTACTAGGTGCCAGGCACAGTGCTAAATGGTCTTCTGGAATCATGGTTTGTCATTGCATTGTTTAGAGTTCTAAAGTTTTTCAAAGTTGTTTTTCTTTGTTATTATTGTATAAAGATTTTAATAGGACAAGGAATAAAAATTCAGCAGGAAAAAAAAAGCTAACATGTATATAGTGCTTATTATGTGCCAGGCACTGTGCTAAGCACTTTACAGATATTATCTCCAATGATCCTCAAAACACAGGTCTGGGAGGTAGATACTATTATCATCCCCATTTTATAGCCAAAGAAACTTAGGCAAACAGAGCTTGTGTAACTTGCCCAGGGTTCCACAGCTAGTAAGTGTCTGTCATTTCCTAGTCAACCAGCATGTTGATCATGTCTGACAGTGTATGCAATACCACATCCAGATCCTCTGCAAAGAGTAGAAGGTCCATTTTTTTTCATCTCTTTTTCCATGGCCAAACTTGGTCATTATGCATAGTTTATTTCCTTTTTGTTCTTTGTGTTCATGTAGTCATTGTGTCTATTGGTTTTCTTGGTTCTCTTCATGTAGTCTTTCCATGCTTCTTGGAACTTCATACTTCTAAATATAAATTTATTTATTTTTATTTTTCAACATTTACTTCCGCAAGATTTTGAATTCCAAATTTTCACCCCATCTCGCCCCTCCCCCCACCCCAAGATGACATGCATTCTGAATACCCCTTCCCCTAGTCTGTCCTCTCTTCTATCTCTCACCCCCTTTTCTTATCTCCTTCCCCTTTTATTTTCCTGTAGGGCAGGATAGACTTCTGTACCCCATTTCCTGTATTTCTTATTTCCCAGTTGCATGTGAAAACAGTTTTTTTTGAACATATGTTTTTAAAACTTTGGGTTCCATATTTTTCCCTTCCTCCCTCCCCACCCACTCTCACTGAAAAGGCAAACAACTCAATATAGGTTATACATGTGCAGTTATGCAAAACACTTCCATAGTAGACATGTGAAAAACTAACTCTATTTCCCTTAATCCTTTCCCACCCCCCATTTATTCTAATTCTTTCTTTTGACCCTGTCCCTCCTCAGAAGTGTTTGCTTCTGATTACCCCCTTTTCCAATCTGCCCTCCTCTCTATCATCCCCCTGCTCTCTTGTCCCCTTCTCCCCTTATTTTCCTGTAGGGTAAGACAGATTTCCATACCCAATTGAATGTGTATGTTATTCCTTCCTTAAGCCAAATCCTATGGGAATTGAGATTCACTCATTACCTCTCACCTTCCCCTATTTCCCCTCCACTGTAAGAGCCTTTTCTTTTCTGTTTTTTTTTTTGTGAGATAATTTACCCCGTTCTACCTCTCCCTTTCTTCTTCTCCTGGTATAATCCTCTCTCATCCCTTAATTTTATTCTCCAGATATGACCCCTTAATCTTCAACTCACCCTGTGCCCTCTATCTATCTACCTATCTATCTATCTATCTATCTATCTATCTATCTATCTGTCTGTCTGTCTGTCTGTCTGTCTGTCTGTCTGTCTATCTATCTATCTATCTATCTATCTATCTATCTATCTATCTATCTGTACACACATACATATAATTTTTTCCCTCTAACTACCGTAATACTGACAAAGGTCTCATGAGTTATAAATATCATCTTTCCATGGAGGAATGTAAACAGTTCAACCTTAATAAGTCTCTTAAGAACTTCATACTTCTTACAGCACAGTGATATGCCAATACATTCATGCACCAGTTTGTTTAGTCATTGATGGCTGTTTACATGGTTTGCAATTCTTTGCTGTCATAAAAAACACTGCTATTAATATTTTGATACCTATTAGGCCTTGATTTCCATTTTTCCCATCATATTTCATCAGATTTTTAATGGAATCCTGATCAACATCATTGTGTCAAGGGATACAAGTGAAGAACACCATCATTCCATTTTGGTACTGTAGACATCCAGGCTTCAAGTTAATGGAAATAAGGCTCTGGTTTCTCAGTCAGTCCTTGAAGACTGACACTGCTCAGAGAAATCAAAATAACTGGTGAACCATGGAATACTGTGCTTGTTCTATTATGACTTCTGCCATATGAATCCTGCCTGTGACTTCATCTGTGAGAAGGACATACTGCAGATACTAATAGAATCCTGGTTGCATCTCAGCAAGGAAAAATTCATGTGAATGTCTTCTTGCCTCCTCTGCCCTGTTACTTTCAGGGGTGGGGTGTAATCCTACCTCCTTCCTTGTCCTGGATATGTCCTGGACATATCCTCCCCACCTATACATTTTTACACACATATGCTCCCCAGAGTAGGGAGATTTTGGTGACTGGATACCCAAAGTACCAGGCAGTGTGAAACTAAAAATTGAGGACTGTGAAAGAGACCTAATGGGAATCTATTGAACTGTTCAAAAGTAACTTTTTGTGCTGTGGATGAAATGGTATATGCTTTTTAGAACCCTTTGATCTTCATTGGTAATGTGAACTGTTATCTCCAGGGATTGCTACATCCCCAATCAGGCATTGGCCTTCATCTATTCATGCAGTATCTGCCAGCCCTTGAGTATTTTACCAGTGAGTGGAGGATCCCTATCTACCATCTGAATCAGATTTGGTGCTGCTTTGTACCTCAGGTGTTTGGGAATTCTGGAGACGAAAAGTTACTACCGGCTGAAGTTTGTTTTTCCCTGGTAAGTATCATAACCAGTAAACAGCCCTGATCAACTAAGTGGTAAGGTTGGACTCCTTCCCTTGGTTCAAACCCAGACTTCAAGCAAAAGACATACTGGATGTAACTAACACAGTCAGCACCTTTCTGGCCCTTTCAGGTTTATACATTTGTGCTAGAAGTGAGGTTTGAGCAGAGGAATGGTCAATGGGACCCTTAAATGAGGAAGCAAGACTAAAGGTGGGGGGTAGTGGATTAGAGGATTTGGTCCCCATTTGGTGGGTGTATGTCCCTTGGTATGTTGTAGCTTGGGAGCTGACCCGCTTCTCCTGGGTTATCCGGGAGGATGAAGATTCATGCTTTTTGCAGATGGGGAAGGCATTAGAAAGATACTGTTTTTGCAACATAATTTCCTTGTTATGGCAGAATTTGGCATCATATTCCAAATCCAAGGGAATGAGGAAACAGCCACCCCCACTTTTTAGCAGAGAAAGAGTTGAGTATATCAATCACATTCCTCTACGCCTTCTGAAAACATGAGTATTTCCAGAAACTGAGTCAAACCACATTCTGTTCCATTGATGTGCTCTATTATAAACTGAAAAATGCACATACTCTTTAGTTTTATGATCTGTCCTTTTGGATGAGAAAATCAGTCTGTCCTACATGTGTCCATGTCCAAGGGAAAAATGTAAATTGGAGGGAAATGAAGCAGAAAAATCAGAGGTTTTTGAATCATCTCTTCCCCCCAGGGTCCCAAATTGATCAGGTGAAAGTAAAGATTTAGGATAGTGTTTTTGGTTCAGTTGTGTCCAACTCTTTGTGACCCCAAATGGGGTTTTCTTGGCAAAGATACAAGAGTGGTTTGCCATTTCTTTCTCCAGCTCATATTACAGATGAGGAAACTGAGGCAAATAGGATGAAGTGACTTGTCCAGTGTCACACAGCTAGTGTCTGAGGCTGGATTTGAACTCAGGTTCTTCTGACTCCAAGGGTGGTGCTCTACACCACCTAACTGCCCCTTAACATTCATTAAAAAAATTTTTTTGAGTTCCAAGTTCTCTCTCTTCCGCCTGTCCCTCCCCCCTCATAGAGAAGGCAAGCAATTTGATTCTAGGCATTTTAACATGAAGAACAGATTGTGTCTGATCCTGCTCAGTTTCCTTTTCCTAAAGCTGCTTCTAACCTTGCCACAGTACTGGGATCTGCAAGCTCATCTGTTTACTTGGCTAGTTAACCAGGAGATTTCACAAGTACATCCTCATGGTGTTGATAGCCTCTAACTTTTATAGGAAGTGCCTTTGGTATTTTCGGGTATATCTGGAGCTGGGTATCTGGTTTGCCCACCTAATTAACATCATTGTGGTAACATCAGCCCAGTTTACACAATAGCTGGGCTCTTCCTTCATCACATACTCCCTCTTAAGGTTTTGGTTTCATTGTTTAAAAAAGATGTCAACAAGCTTCAATTCATGTCTCAAAGCACAGCACCATAGTTGGAGAACACAGCAAACTTGCTGAATGTTAAGCTCTTCAGGGCTTGGGGTTCAGGTGGAGTTGGGAGTTTCCAGGCATTGTTCTGGGGCTGAGGAATGCGAATAAAATAAGCATTAAATGAATTCAGTCACATAAGACTACACAGGGCTGGGGACTGGGGAGAGGGAGGCATCATCTCACCTTTTGCTTTATGCCTTACGAGTTAAAGAGAAGGTGAAATCTGAGATAATTTGGGCATTAAAAAGAAGACAGCATCCCTTAAAATAGAATCATTGTTTAAAAGAAAACAAAACTACAGGATCTTAACATTTTAATCGTTTCTTTATAGGTTTACCTGTACTACTTTTGATTAAGAAAACTGTAGTTGGTTAGTAACTGCCTCAGGTTACACCAAGCATGACTTCTCAGTTTTCCAGCCCTTCTAAAGAGGCTCGGAGATCACATCTTCTCTGTGTCACTGGACACTTTATTGAAACTGAATTGTGGACAATAAATGGACTATGGGTTGTGCTATTCCCAAATTTCTTGACAAAACTCTTCATTGCTCTCACAGAATTTTTTGCAGTCCTCAAGAATACCCTTCAGGTAGGTCAGCCTGAAGGGGTAGAAGCTTGCCCTGTTTGCTGCCCCTCAGAACTGTTGATTACCCTTTTTGATCAATGTCAGGGTAGCAGGTATCTGTTCTAAAGGGACTCAGAGTTATTTTGTAACTGAGTTATAAAGGTACTTAATGGGGAAAAAAAATAAAAGCTGGTGGTTAAACAAACCCTTGCCAAGTCAATAAAACAACTTCATCAAACTAGATGTTACAGAAGTTTTTTATTCTGCATTTGTGGGTTTCCTCTAACTCCTTCATCCGTCTCCTGGGTCTGGTGCTTGCTTCCATGCATCACTGTAAGGTAGGCATTCTTGTGTCAGGGAAAATGGTCTCTGTCTCTTTTTCTCTCTTTCCTCCTCCCCTTATTTGAGAGTTCTTCATATCTGTCTCATATCTCTCGAGTTTTGAATAATTGGAGATGAGTTCTTACTTGCTCTCCTGGAGCCCATAGCAACACCCCAATTTTGTCATCTCAAACTTTTTTTTCCTTTTCATCAACATCTATTTGTAAGTACCTACTGTGTATTATGGTAGGTACTAGGATTATATAGAATCAAACTGTTTTGAGCATCATTGCTATAAACAACCTTTGTCAACCAGGTTATGAATGTGGACTCTTTGGTTCAAACCCAGACTTTGAGTTCAAGTCCTATTTGGACCAGTGAGACTGATACCTTGCTGACTCTTAACACATCAACACACTTCTGCTAATGTTTAAAAAGCTTCATGCTACCCAGCAATGTTTGGGGGTCTGCTGATTGAGGGGGGCTCTCATGTGACCTATTCCAGGGGGCTAAGTCTTAACCCCAGAAACCTTCACCCAATTGTGAGAGATGGTCTCTCAGGAGTGAAGCCTCCTCAAAGGGTCATTAGTTCTTGTTAATGGTTCTGGTACTGTTGCTTTTGAGTGGCACATGTGTGCCAACACTAAGTGAAGACCCCTCAGAATGCAAGACCCCCTCCCCTAGCCTTCTCCCTCTCCTACTCTTGGATAGTGTTAGCGGAAATTCCTGAGACATGGGAGCATCCTGTCTATCTCGTCCTCTAGCTGGTTGTATGACCTTGGGTAAAAGACTGCTGAAACTGTGAGGCTCTGAGAAGGGGAACGTGCTAACATAATTTCTATACCTTTTTGTTCTCTCTGTTGGTGGGGTAGTTTTTACACGAATAGATTGTATACCTGAGGCTCAGTCAATGAGCCGATGGGAAGGGGGTTAGGGTGGCTGCTACCTTGGGGTCTATGTAGTCTTGCCTTGAACAAAGAGCACTCAAACTCTTGGGGCAGCTGAGGCAGCATGGGGGTGTACTTTCTCAAGAAAGTCAATGAAGAGATCTCTCCTTTTACAAACTTTTGTCAAGACTCTGGTTTTTTCAACTGAGTGAAACAATGTAAACAACGTGAGATCTCTCAGATGGATTGAGTGTAGCAATTTCTTAGACTGTTACAAACTCAAGGTTGGTTACACTAGCCTCAATAGGCCTAAGTTTCAGGTTCCTAGAAAACACATGATTTGTACTATTATATCAGCATTGGTAATGGCTAATTACTAAAAAGGATAAGATAGCTAGGATTCGTAGTATTATAGTGAGATTCCTTGTTTCTGGGGTAGATTTTCTCGTTTTAGATTGTAAGGCTGAAATTCCTGTCCAATGGGAATTCAAAGCCAGTGGTGGGTGGGTATCTCTGTGTTAGGGCGATATAACCTTTGTCCTGGCCTTTGTGCCTTGCCTCGCTTCGCTAGCTTCGCTCGGACTGCCTGATGAAGCAGACGCCCACTTCTCACGAGAACGTAATAAATCTTTCACTTTATACCTAGAAAATCTCTGAGTGTTATTTTTGGGTAGCTGTAGCACACATAATCTATTATACCCCCTTTTCTTTTTCAGCTTGCATAATAAGGGAAACTCTTCAGTCCATCAATTCATGTGCAAGGCTTAAAATGCAATTAAAATGAACTTTTCTAATAGAAAATTTAAAGGGCAAAGCTTCCACAGTTAAAAGAATATAAAAACACTACTGCCTCCTGCAGTCATCATAGCAACCAGCTAATCTAAATCAGGAAGGTGTTATCATAAAGCCTGGAGTACTGATGAAACACTGAACGCTTCCCCCCCTCCCATGTGGGGGTATCATACTTAACCTGTAAAAACCAAATGACCTCCACCATTACCTTCCCCTCACAAAGGGCGGGACTGCCAAAGAGCAAAGGGAAGGAGAGAGGGTCTAGGGCTAACAATGCATAAGCATAGCAACCCCTTCCTGGCAATAGTCCCCAGCATAAAGTAAGCACAGTCTTTGTCACACTCTGAGATTGGGATCATGGGGCAGGTATATGAATCAGTATTGGAGTCTTTGGAACTCAGCCAAAGAACTTGAAGTGATGGCACCATATTGTACTTTGCTTGCTTTAGTTAAAATGGGATGGTAGTTCCACCTACTGGAATTCGAAACTGAAGCACAATAAAGATATTGCAGGGACAGAGAGGGGAGTGTCTGGTTGGCATAGCAGTCAGAACACACACGACATTTATCGATTAAGTTTGTAGTCTTATATGGGCATGGTTCATGGCACCCCCAAAACAATTACAGTAGTAACATTGAAGATCACTGATCACCATTATATAATAATAATGAAAAAGCTTGAAATATTACAAGAATTACCAAGATGAGACACAGAGAGATATGAGCACATGCTGTTGGAAAAATGGTGCCTATAGACTTGCTCAGCACAGGGTTGCCACAAATCTTCAATTTGCAAAAAATGCAATATCTTTATTGTGCTGTGAGCTACAATAAAGCAAAGTGCAATAAAATGAGGTATGCCTGTACAGAGAAGACCTTATGAACTAATGCAAAGTGAAATAAGCAGAAACAGGAAAACAATATACATAATGCCTAGAAGAATGAAAATGAACAACAAACCAACTGAAACTGAATGCTGAGAATTTATAATGACCAAGCTTGGTACCAAAGAAGAGATAGGAGAAGATACACATTCTACTTGGTAGAGGTGGGGTACCATGGGTATGGAACAATGCATATGATGGCAGACATTTTTGATATATTGGTTAGTTTTGTGCAACTTTTGTTTTCTTCCTCTTTATTATAAGGGAGAGATGAGAGGATACTGTGGGAAATGTAGGTGATATAAAAGCGAAAGATAGCAAAAACATTTATTTTTAAAACAATACAATGCTGTAGGTGGACTGTTCTTATGAGAGTATTTGTATAAAAAATACATTAGGGTTTTTTTTTCATGTAACTTTATTTTACTCTTTGTCAATTAACAAGCATTAATTCTCTCTTCCTCCCATGTCCTCCCCCTAATTGAATAAAAAAAGAAAAACAAAACTCTTGCAACACGTATGCAGTCAAGCAAGACAAATTCTCACAATGGCCTTGTCGAAAAATGTATGTCTTGCTCAGCACCGTAAGTGCCTTGCCTCTCCATCAGAGGTGGGAAGCATACTTCATCACTGCACCTCTGGAATTGGATTGATCAGAGTTCTTAATTCTTTGCTTCAGCTAAAGCATAATAAATTTTGCTCTATCCATTTATTTTAACTGTGTGAATATTTTTTAAATTCAACTTTATTTTATTTCTAGCTGCAAATTCTCCCTCTCCTCTCCCACTCTCCAACCCATCGAGAAGGCAAGAAAAACAAAACCTATTACAAATATGTATAGTCATGCAAAACAAATTTCCACATTTGTCATATTTAGAAAGAAAGAAAGAAAGAAAGAAAGAAAGAAAGAAAGAAAGAAAGAAAGAAAGAAAGAAAGAAAGAAAGAAATTATTTAATTAGCAACCGACGAGTCCATTAGTTCTCTTTCTGGAGGTGGATAGCATGTTTCATCATGAGTTCTTGGAATTGAAGTTGGTCATTGTGCTGACCAGGGTTACTAAATCTTTCAAAGTTAATTATCTTTACAATATATCTGTCATTGTGTAGATTGTTCTCCTGGTTCTGCTCATTTCACTTTGAATCAGTCCATACAAGTCCGAAGATATCCCCTTCTTCATTTCTTATAGCACAATAATATTCCATCACAATCATATGCCATAATTTGTTCAGCCATTTCCCAGTTGATGGGTATCTCTTCAGTTTCCAATTCTTTACCACCACAAGAAGAGCTGCTGTAAATGTTTTTGTATATGCAGGTTCTTTTCCTCTTTCTTTAATCTCTTTGGGATATATATCTAGGAGTGGTATTGTTGAGTTAAAGGATATACACAGTTTAATAGCTTTTGGGGCATAGTTCCAAATTGTGATTCAGAATGGTTAAATTAATTCACAGTTCCACCAACAGTTTATTAGTGTACCTATTTTCCCATAACTCCTCTAGCATTTGTCATTTTCCTTTGTTATCACCTTAGCCAATCTGACAGGTGTGAGGTGGTACCTCAGAGATGGTTTAATTTGCATTCCTCTAATTAGTGGAGGATTAGTGCTTTTAGTGAATTTAGAGCTTTGTTATATGACTATTGATAGCTTTGATTTCTTCCTTTGAAAACTGCCTATTCATATCCTTTGTCCATTTATCAACTGGAGAATGACTTGTATTCTTATAAATTTGACTCAGATCCCTTTACATTTTAAAAAATCAAACCTTGGTCAGAGAAACTTCCTGCAAATACTTTTTTTCATAGCTTCCTGCTTTTCTTCTCATTTTAGCTGCATTGATTTTGTTTATGTAAAAACTTTTTAGTTTTGTATAGTCAAAAGTATCCATTTTACCTATCCTATTTACCTCTCTTGTTTGGTCATGAACTCTTCTCCTATCCATAGATTGGACAAATAATTTTTTCCCTGCTCTACTAATTTGTTTAGGATATTACCTTTTATATCTAAATTCTATACCCATTTTGAGATTTTCTTGGTTTATGATGTGAGATATTTGTCTATGTCTATTTTCTGCCAGACCACTTTGCAATTTTTATCAAATAGTCATTTCTTGCCTCAATATCTGGGATCTTTGGGTTTATCAAATACTATATTACTGTGCTCATTTGCTTCTGTATATTGAGTAGCTATCCTGTTTAACCGATCAATCTCTCTTATTTTTTTGTTCAGGCCCAGAGTCAACTGACCTCTCTGTCTGTCTTCCTATGATTCCCTGGGCTGCAAACAAGACTCAACTGTGACTTTTTCTTGGCTTTCCCAATCAAAATTTGATCTGGAACATTTTCTAGACTGTTTGTGGAGGTATGCCAAGCTTTTTCTTTGATCAAGATACACTTATACTAAGTTCTGTAAAGATAAACAAAAGCAGTGGCAAAACAAAAACTTTA